CCCTTCCCCTCCCCCCACGGATCCCTCGCACACCGCAGAGCTGCTCTCCACCCGCCGACGGGTGTCGCTGCGGACCTGGGGCCCCGACGAGAACCCCCATCGGCAGTCAGAGAAGGGGAGCTGCGAACGCTGGCGGGGCAGGTGGTGGGGCGGGAAGGACGGGGAGGGGACAGTCGAAGGATGTTAGGCGGTGGTCGGAGATGGGGGGGGGCTGAGAGGAGGGGCGATGCGTTTTTCTGTCCAACCCTGGGGCGATACGTTGTATGGCACTTCTGTTCCCCCTTCCCTCCCCCTTCTCCCCCTCCTCCCCGCCTCTGCCGCCTCCCTCCCCGGTTTCACGTCTCTCGCATCTGCCTTTGCACATTTGATGTGGCAAGCTCAGGGATTTCAGGTTTGCTTTTTCGAACTGCGTTGTCGCGGAGGGGAAAGGACAAGAAGGGGGGCGATGGAGGGAGATCGGCTCTGGCCGTCCGTCGGATCTCACGAGGTTCGAGGATCAAGGTTGTGTTTTTGCATGTCCGGCCTTGCTCGTGCCTCTGCATGCCTTTTGGCTGGGGGCCTTTGGAGGCCTCCGTGTCACTGAAATGTTGGTAGGAGGAGGAAGGGGAGGGAGGCATCTGTGGGAGCGGAGAATCGATTCGGGTGAGCTGGCCAGACGGCGTTGCGCTGTGGCCCCACACGCTGAGTTTCTTGAAGTCTTTTAGGGTGTCCTGGACTTTCTTGAGGCTACCTTGGGTTACCTATGGTTTCCTGGAGTTCCCTGCGGCTCTCTGGGGTTCCCTGGAGATTCATGGGCCTTCCTGGGATTCCCTGGGTCTCCATGGTGTTTCCTGGCGTTGCCTGGGGTCCCTGTGGTTTGCTGGAGCCTCCTGGTTCTTCCTGGAGCTTTCTGGGACTCCCTGGAAGCCTCCTGTGGTTCCCTAGGGTCTCTTGAGGCTACCCAGGGCCTTCCGGAGCATCCTGACTTGGAACGGAGGGCAAAAACGAGTCTACGAGCGACACGACTGCGTCCGCCGCCGCTTGGGCTCAAGCGGCCCTGTATCGGAGGTTGGGGGGTGAGATCGAAGTGGAACGGAGAGCCCCCCACCGGGAAATCGGTTTCGGTTTCGTGTTCGTGCGTGCAGCCCGTGCAGGCGAAGCGAAGCTGCGTTTGGGCGGGCGAGAGGAAAGTCTCCTGTGGCTGAGGCGCGGCCGGACCAAATGATTCTCCCTCCGGCAAGCGGTGGCCCGCGGTGTCCCGCCGGTGTCCCGCTTGTGGCTGGGCCCCGGCCGGACCAAATGATTCTCTCTCCGGCAAGCGGTGGCCCGCGGTGTCCCGCTGGTGTCCCGCCGGTGTCCCGCCGGTGTCCCTGTGTCCCGCTGGTGCGAAAACGATCGTGAGACCGATGACGAAATCGATTGTGAGATCGATAGTGAGATCGATAGTGAGACCGATAGTGAGACCGATAGTGAGATCGATCGTGAGATCGATCGTGAGATCGATAGTGAGATGAATAGTGATATCGGTTGTGAGATCGAGTGATATCGATAGGGAGATCGTTAGTGTGATCGGTAGCGAGATCCAGACTGAGATCGACACTGCAATCGATCGAGTGAGATCGATAGTGAGATCGATCGAGTGAGATTGATAGTAAGGTCGATAGTGAGACCGATAGTGAGACCGATAGTGAGATCGATCGTGAGATCGATCGTGGGATCGATAGTGAGACCGATAGTGGTACGCAAATCGAAATGCAGATCGAAAAGCAAATCGACATGCACATCGGTATGCAAATGCAAATCGTCAGGCACATCGACATCCCGTGCTGTATGCTGTGCCAAGAGCGAGCGGCAACGCAACAATCTCTGAATACCGAGGCTCCCAGTACGAACGTTGGCGGAACAGGCTGTCAAGGGTCGCTCCAAGAAGTTCCCGGGAGGCCCCAAGAGGCCCACAAGAAATGCAAAAAGGTTCCCAAGAGGCTCCCAAGATGCACCCCAAGAGGCCCCCAAGAGGGTTCCGAAACGATAGCGGGGGGCTGCGTCTTCAAGTTTTTTGTTAAAGACATCGGTTTGCAATGTTTTCTTCTATTCACGCCTACAGTGTGCGCATCAGAGATAGAGGCACATGAACGTAGACAGGGGAAGGATGATAGAGCGGAGAGCAAATGCTACATGAATGCGTACAGTGGAAGTGCACGAGTGATTAACATTTTCGCAGACACGCAGACATTTTCTCTCCCAGCACGACCGCCGACGCTGCCTCAACTCGCTTGGAGATTCCTCTTCTCCAACTTTAGCCGAAGGTATACGTCCAAAACTGCCCTTTTGCAATGCATCGCGTGCAGTTCTTACTGGAGCCATCCATCGGGGGCTGCCCCCCTCCCTTCATAGCACTGGAGTAGCTAGCCGTCGCCCGCGCGCTAGCTCGCAGGCTCGACTCACGCAGCGGCAAACATTTTGATGCCCGCCAGAAGCGGCACATAGTAGTAGTGGTCCTCGAAAAGGGAGTGGTCGGCACTCAGGAGGCACCTCGCCTGGAACTCGTTGACGATGCACCGCCACTTCTCCCTGTTCGAATGGCTCGGCAACCTGCCGCCATATTTGCTCCGCACCCGCCGCTTCAGGGCGCTCCATTTTGCCTCAATGGCGTTCGTGGAGAATCCCCTCTCATTGACGATCTCAGACGCGTCGTGATTCACCATCTCGTGGGGGAGGGTATTCACCGTGAGACCGCGAGATCGGCGCAGCGCCTTCACGGCTGAAATCGTTGCTGCCCACTTATCAGACACGAACGTGTCCCCCTTCTGCAAGTTGACTAGGCTGATGTTCTCCAGCATCTCCTTGTGGCCGCGCGGTTTACCGTTGGCGGCCTCGTCGGGGTGCTTCAAGATGCGGAAGAGGAAGTGCGTCCGAGACTTCCCTTGGAGGACCGCGCCCCAAATCCACAGCTGGTCTTTCTGCGGCCTGGCGCACTTGTTGAGTTTGCCAGGCTTCCGCTTGTTCAAGAAAGACTCATCCGCAATGAGAACCCTCTTGTTGATGGTCTTCTTCACCTGCTTCGCGAACTTGCGGCCGACGGGCTTCTTCGCCTTGGTGCTCTTCGCTGGCGCGCGCTTGGTGGCTGTCTTCTTCGACGACTTGGGCGCGGTTTTCATTGCCGCTGGGCGCGAGGCCGATGGCTTGGCCACTTTGTTCGGGCCCTTGTCGGCGAACAGCTTCTTGCTAGCCTGCGGCGAAACCGCGTCGTACCAATCCCCAGCAGTCTCGCGGAACTTCGAAATCCAGCTGTCGACGCTCTGATGGTTCACGTTGGACAGCTCCATGACGATTGTCTTGTGGCGATAATCCGCAAGCCACATCACAAGGCAGTCCAACTTGTCCATCCAGTGGTACATGCGCGTGTTCTGGAAGAAGGAGAAGTTACTCGCGGTGACCTTGTCGCCATTGCAGGCCCAGCACCCGTCGCTGTACCTGGGGCCGATCCAACGGAGCCTGCCCGCGCGATCGCTTTCCGCGTTGTGCTCAATGGTGTAGGGGTGCTCGCACGTCGGGCAATTGTACTCCTTCGGGGCCAACCCCACTGTCTGGGCGAACGCGAACGCGCGGCGCGCCTCGGTGTTGGGGAGCGGGGACGCATTCTCCACTGACGCGAACTTGACCTTTTCCAAGAACTCGCTGCGAGCACGCCCTTTGATCTCCTTCACCGTGGCCTGGAAGTCAGCCCAGTCCTTGTAAACCGCCATGCGGAACGCGCGACTGGACTTGCGAGTGCTGGGCGAGGATGTTGGACACTTCGCTATGGAGCCTAAACAGCTGCGGGGCAGAGGGAGGGCAGTGTCTCTTTCCGACCGCATGTGGGATAACAGCGGGCATGGCCACCTCGGCTGCAAGTGCCGCTGCAAAGTGAATGTCACGCTAGCGTTTCTCTTCGCATGCTTCCGAACTTTCGTCTGATGTTCCCGCCTGGAGATGGGCAAAACTACGTGGCATACGCACCCCTCCCTCCCCACCCCTGCGTCGAGAAGATTCGTGAAGGTACTCGTGTTGAGAACGTTTGAAGATGCTGCTGATGACGATGGTGGTGACATGGGCCCCTTGGAGGGCCATGCCGATGACGATGGCGATGACAAGTCTGTTCTCAAGATGCTGCTGGTCACAATGGTGATGACGTGCATTCCTTTGATGGCCATGCCGATGGCGATGGTGATGACACGTACGTGAATCGAGGTCATGTCGATGACGATGGTGGTTACATGCATCCCTTTGAGGGTGATGCCGGTGACGATGGTGATGACATGTATGTTCTGGAGGTGCTGCTGATGACAATGGTGATGACGTGCATTCCTTTGATGGCCATGCCGATGACGATGGTGATGGCAAGTGCGGTGCATGTGCGGCGAAGACGACGACTGCGACGGCGGCGGCGGCGCAGTTAGCTCTGGCGGCGACGGCAATGGCAATGGCGCGGTTGCAGCGAAGGCGGCGGCGATAACGAGTGGGTGGCGCGTTTCAGCAACCCGCATGTGATCAGCTTCGGATGCTTTGACTGCAAACCCCGCTCCAATGCGTTGCAGTGGGGATGAAATTTAAGTGCCAATATCCACGCCCCTATTCCCACCCATGCGACCACGCCAGCTTCCCTCTTCCCACTTCCCTCTTCCTCCACGGCCTGGCGCCTTGCATTCGGCGCAGTCCGTGTGACTGGGGGCAGAGTCGCCTCGAACAAACAACAGCAGCGGCATGAGCGCTGGCTGGGCATGAGGGGCAACTGTCCAGCGCACAGTGGCTGGGCATGGAGACCAGCTGACCCCTCTCTCTCCCTCTCTCTCTCTCTCTCTCTCTCACTTGGCCTTTTTGGGAGAGCTCCATGCATTCTCTCTGATACCTGCCTGAGACAATCTACAGAACGGCGCCGCGAGGCCATTGGAAATGCTGGATGGAATTGCGCGGCAGAGGATAAGCGAAAGCGAACTGGCACCCCTCTGCGCGGCTTCCATCCGCAAGCGGTCGTGCAATATCTAAGCGTGGCCATCGCCGATCACCTCCACGGTCACGCGCAGCCCCCACTTGACTGCGACGGCATTCGCTGCCGCGCGGAGATCGGCCACGGCGTCCTCGGGCGTCAAGAACACGGCGCCGTCAAACATGTACGTGTTCACAGACACCCCGTGGATGGAAGCCGCCTCGGCCTCCAGGTCTGCCAAGACCATGTCCTCGATCGAGCTTAGGGCGTAGTGGAGTTTCGATGCGGGAGGACAGCGGCGATTCTCAAAGCGGCCTTCCAGGTATTTGAACTTGTCCTGGGCCAGAAGCAAGTCCACCGCCTTGTGCATGTCCACCGAAAGATTCCACAGGAACGGGAGGTCGCAATCTGGCTTGCCCAGGTGCGCGATCTTGACCAGGGACTTCGTCGCCACCCTCGCGGACACTGACATGTAGGCGGCGAGAGCCGAGCGCCATGCCTTGTAGTTGGCGGCAAACGCCATGAGGGCAGGCAAGTCTTCCTTCATCTGGCACATCTGCTCGATCTCCTTGACTAGGAGGGCAACGAAGCAATTGTTGATGTCAGCCTCGGCGAAAACCTTCGTCCGCGGGCGACCAGGGCGGCGTTCCGGGAAAAGCGCGGGCGAAACCGTTCTTCCGAAACCCATCCTCCAATCAAAAATCGGAAATCAAGCCCGGAACAAACTCATGGCCCAAGCATTCGAAACGCCGTCTTGGTTTCCCACGATTCCTTCCCGCCCTGGAAGGAGTTCGATGGCTCCAGCGACAGCGCGACTGTCCTGTCGTCGCGAGCCATCCACTGCAGGGAAGGGCGCTGAGCCAGGCGACGGCCAGGGATGTCGAACTTGCGGTAGTACGGCACCTCGCAATGGTCGACCAAAACCCGATGCCCAAACGACGCGCCCCAAAATGGAAGATCGAAAACATGCATGTTTTGAACCCAATGGCCGGGCGGCTATGGTCGGCCCATGAAACCTCGATCTGCGCCATGTCGCCGCCGCAGCGGACGCTCCGCTGCATCAGCATCTTCGCGCAGCCTGCGTCGGCAATCTCGCCCGAATCCACCTTCTCAGACAACCTCTGGTAGTTGAACATCTCCATGAGAGACCCGCACTGGTTGCGGACGGCGATCTCTGACGTGTCTTCGGCGTCGCCGCCCTCGGGGCGATCCCGAAGAAACTCCTTGCATTCCCACGTGCTGCGCCAGGAGGCGAACCCTCCGCCGAAGACTGCGGCGCCGCCCGCCTGCTCGATCGCCTCCTCCATCTTTTTGAGGTCGATGTCCAGTCGTTCGAAGCCGCCGCCGCGAACTTCGCGGAGAGTGAAGAGGTGCGGCCACGTAGACACTGCATCGGAGAAGACCTGAAGGCGGTCCTTCTCGCCATTCCTCCCCTCCCTGTACTTCCCAGGGATGCACTTGATCTTCTTCACCTCGTAGGTCTTGATGAGGCCGTTGGCCGCCTGGTCAGCGTGAACGTCGCGGCATATCTTCTCGGCGCTCTCCGTCGCGGCAGTGTCCTCCTCCGGCGTTCGGAACGACTCTGGCACCTGCAGGCCGCCGTTGGCCATGGTGGCAACGATGCGCCTGGTCTCGTTGAGGATCTCGAGCGGCGGAGTCATCACCATTGCCCTGCACTCCGACGCAGCGCGCTCTAAAATCCACGGAATCAAATATGTCTCCAAATAAGCCTGCCGAGCGAACGGGCTTTCCAGGAACTCGCCCAGCTCGGTGTCCTCCTTGAAGATGCGGTTTTCAACGTCGACCTTCGCTGGGTCACTGGTAAACGTCGCCTGGAGCTTCACAACCCTGATGCGGCGCTCGGAGGCGTATAGCTTCCTGATGTCATCTGGGCTACCAGATATGCTGGGGAAACCCCAGTTACACTCCCAGAAGCGCGCCGCGCGGTTCCAGCGGTAATAAGCAGTGGTCGTGCCGAACAGAGGCCGGCACATCAAACGATCCCCGCTGATGAACGACTTCATCACGTCCTCGACCATGGGCTCCCCGGGGGTGCACTCCTGAATGGTAAGGATTTTCGCTGACGCGAACTGCCCCCCCTGCTTACGGAACTCGTCGGGCTCCTGGAAGCACCGCGGAGAGATTACCTTGTGGTGCCCCCGCCAAACGTTGTCTCTCAACAACGTCCGCGCCGACTTCGAATCCCCCCCGTCCGCGTACTCGAGGACGAGGACTGGCGGCATCACTTGGCTCATGAAAGCAAGTGCTTCCAGGGGGAGCTCCAGCTTCCAACCCGACGTCGTCCCCGCGAATCCCGTGCCCATGAAGAGTCGGACTTTGTCCACCGCCCAATCGGGGGCCCGAACCACGATGCTGCACGGGATGAAGAAGTACGATTTGTGCTCGATCGACTTCGCGACATTCTTCATGCGCTCGGCGCTGTCCTCTGGCTTCTCTGGGTCAATCTTGACACGCGCGTCTTCGAAGACGACCGCGATGCTGGGCTGCTCCGGGCGCTCCTCCTGCTTCCATATGCCGACCATTTCCACCAGCGAGCCAGAGGAACTCTTCCCAACGAAACGGGTGGCAACCACCGACAGGGTTGACGTCCTCCTAGCTAGGGGCAACATCGCATCGAACACGGCCGTCACGTCCTTGTTCACGACATCACCCATGATCTCCTTGAACATGGCGGCCGCCTTCAGCAGCGCCAGCTCGAGCCGGCGCGTGTCGGTCGCGCTGAACTCCTCGATCAATTGGAAGGCGCCCTGCTTGTACACGAAGACGCCGTCGTCGTGGGCAACGAGGAGCGGGCCGAATACAACTCCCGCGATGAGCATTGCCACGACATCGTTGTGAGGGCTCCACAGGCGGTCTTCCATCGCATAGAGAGCGATGACGTTGAGGGCGTCCTTCTCGCTTTCGTCAGGCAGCGCCGGCCACTGTGCGATTAGCTCGGCCGCCTTGGCGCGGACCTTGGCGATGACGCTGAGCATGTTGTCGGGCTCGCCCTCCACCTCGCGGGCAAATGCGAATTCGCCACGCCGCCGGAGAATTCGCTGAAAATCAGCGGGCTCCCAACGTTCCAAAATGCGCTTAGTCGAATCATCTGCATCCATCTCGCGCTGCATGTCTGGCTGGCTGTCCGGCACGGGCGCGTTCATGATGGCCGCGCCTAGATCTTTGGAATATTGGCTTTCAGCAGGGTCGCCGGCGCCCGCGGCGCCGGCCGCGGCGGCGTCGGAGCCCGCCGAGTCCATGCCGCCGAGCGGGCCCACGCACTCCGCGAGGGTCTCCGCGTCTGGAGCGACGTCCTGCAAGAGAAACCACTTGTGACGCTGAACGCCTGGGATATCATCCGCAGAGCACTATTCCTGCGAAGCGTAGCTCCCGTTCTTCCGATCTGTCACTGTGACGCCATCGCGATGCACGACGACAGCCACGAAGTGCCCGACGCGCTGCTTCTTGCGGGTCTTCCTGGGCAATGGCTCCCACTTGACGTAGCGCCCAGGGCTGTTGGGGCCGCGCGGCTGAGGAAGCAGGCGCATGCCACGCTCTGCCAGCCAGGCGTTCCCGTGCTCCAGGGCGCGGAAAGGCCCTGTCATATCGGTTGGAACCTGTGCTCCCAGGGCGTTGAGAGCCCAATTTAAACACGTGTTTGTACCTTCGCTTGTCTCCTTGGCACCCCCCCCCCATAGGGTCGCAGTGGCGCGCCCCGACGCCCCCTGCAGGCGAGTCGATGAGATCGCGCCGACGGACTTCAATGGCGAAGCCGTTGCAGGGAAGTGCGACGCCTGGCAGCCGTCGATTCTCAAAGGAATCTGCCTCTCCGCAAGGGAGCTCCTCTTCCCTCTTCAGGCGGCTCTCCATGACCATCCGCCGACCGAGCGCCGCCGCGTGGAGCGAGTCCAGATCGCAGTTGTTCAACACCTCCCAGTTCAAAGCGGTCTGCGAGTCGAAGGCGTCGCCCAGCGGGGGCGCTGCATGCGGCTGCGGCGTCTTGCTCTCGAAGATCAGCGCCGGGGGCGGCCGCGTGGGCATGAGGCGGCGCAGATAGCAAGGGTCCTCGTCGGCATGAGCTGCCCGCAATCGCCGCGCGGAAAGTGCGAAGGCCTCGTTGTCGTAGTACTGCCCGCACCTGGCCCTCAGATACAGCGCCTTCTGTGCTGCCTCAAACTCCGCGAGGCGATGGGCGCCGGGTTTGACCTCCGACGCCTGCGCCAGCCCGTCGCGCCGACTGTCGGCGCCGCTGTGGAAAACGTTCGCGTGGGCTACGATCGTGAAGCCCCCGAACGGAAGCTTCTCGCCGACGAGTGGCTCGAAGGAGTCGGCGGCGTCGTCCTCGACCGGAAGGCTGCGGAAGGCCTGGGGCACTTGCTGCGTCAACTCCCGTCGGCGCGTGGCCGACTGCGCGATCGCCGCCCGAACCGCGTCCTCGCTCAGAAGCTCTTCGAACAGAAGCCCCTTCTTCTTGGAGAAGCACTGTGTGATTTGGTGATCGCCGCCGGGGGAATGAACGCAGGAGTCGAATGTTTGGTGGTCGTCGAACTGGGCAAACTGCCAACCGTAATGGAAAACTGGAGGGCCCGCCGGCTGGTCGAGGAGCCCCCGCAGGAAATCTCCGCGGCGGCCGCCATTGACGCGCTCTAATTGGCGCAGGTCCCCTTCGAATGACTCCATGCTTTCTGCATGCCATCCCACGCGCAGCTTCTCGTAGAGCGCCCACTGCGTAGTCAAGAAATCGTCGAACACAACGGGTGCTGCTCCGTAATCGCAAGTTGGCGCGGGCACGGGGCTTGGCGCGCTGGAGATGGCGGGCGCGGGAGAAGGCGACGCACCGTCGCGCGGCTCCTCGGAGGCAGCTCCAGCAGACGACTCTGCAGAAGGGTCGCCATCGACGCCAACAGGAAAATGAACCGCACACAAGCATAGGAACCTGCAGCAGAATTTGAAGAAATCTACTCGGCGTCGCCGCTTGCCCACGTCGAGGTAGTTGATCGTGATGCCAGGATTCAGGCGCAGATCCGTTGAAGTCGCGGGAACGACGTGCAGCCTCAGTACGGCGCCGCCGCCTTCGAGAGGGATAAGGTAGTGCGCGTTCTGGATGAGGGTGGGAGGTCCGGCGGCGACAAGAACGTCGTCCTTCTGGGCGGTGCCAATAGTGGTCCAATCGTTGCAGCTTGCGTATATCTCCGTTGCATGCTCCACTTTGTAGAGCAGATGGTCGTGGAGCTCATCGCGCTTCGTCGACATAGTCGGCGTCCACTTGCAAGCGCCGTAGCGCGTGCTGTCTGGGCAAGAGTCATCAAAAGCGCGGATGGGAACAATCAGAGCCTCGCCCCACTCCCGCTCAAGGATGGTGGGTTCGGTCCTCTCGATTGCCTCGAGAGTGGCCAAGATCTGAGCAACTGTCATGGCGGCAGCTGTTGGTCTTCTGGGGTCGAAGACAAGGCAACGCAAGAAAGCGCAATGGCCTTGGCAAGTTGAACCAAAACGGCTATGGAACACAGCAAGCGCACGCCGAAGTGCGCGGCCAATGTACATTGAAACTCAACAGCTCCGTTTTGATTCCTGTGTGATTCCGCCTTAAGTTCCGTTGGGGTTTTCTGGGTATTCCACGCAGCCCATCGGCTCGGATGTCACTCCCAAAAAGTTCTCGACTTCCAGCGAAGAGACCAACGCAAATACGAAGGCTGCTGCCAACGGCGGCTTTCACTGAGAAGCTAGCCAAGGAACTGTCAGCATTGAAGTCTCTAGGTTCCGTGAAGCGTTTTTTGCGGCAGTACGCTCCGCATCCGCCGGGCTGCACGCGGAGAGCGAAGCTGAAAGTAATACTGAGACACTACGAGCAGCACAGATATCTAAACGCGCCTCGCATCGCGGCGAGCGAACGGCAATGCTGCGTTGCCAGCCGCGCACATGTGGCTGGGCCGATGTAATCTGCACTCGAAGCCCTAGGAGTCAGAGGCAATGATCAGCCTGATAATCCTCTGGGCCATAAGCGCCTAACCCAGCTCATCTCATCTTGCCTGGCTTGTGAGGACTTCACGCCGCCCTGAAGACCAACTCCCACATTCAGCTCATGGCTCCGCCACCCCGTCGTCTCCTTCAAACGCGGCGCGACCTCATATGGCAGACGCGCCGCGATAGGGTCAGCGGCAACGTATTGCTTGAACAGGTCGCCCTCGTTGGCCAGAGGCTGGGCAGTCGCAGAGGGCTGGCTCATCGCGACGATGGCGAAGCCGGAGGCGGGCGCGCACAGAAATTGCGGGCCTGCTCTTGAGCCTGAACAGCAGCGCTACTCTGGAGTAGAGGTGCGGGTGGAATCCGTGACGTTTTATCCTTGTTACTCCTCCTCCCCCTCCTCCTCCTCCTCCTCCTCCACCTGTTCCTCCTGCTCCTCCTCCTCCTCATCCTCATCCTCATCCTCATCATCATCATACCCCCCTCCTCTTCTCTTCATCTCTTGCCTCATGCATCATCTTCGGGGGTCTTTCAGGAGAGTCGTCGTTGTCGTCGTCGTTCTCGTCCTCCTCTCCTCCCATCTCTCGCTCTCTCTCTCTCTCTCTCTCCCTCCCCCTCTTCCTCCTCACCGTCACCATCACCATCAGCATCGTCATCGTCATCATCGTCGTCGTCATCGTCATCACCATCGTCATCGTAATCGTCATCGTCTTCATCATCATCAACATCATCATCATCATCATCGTCATCATCATCGTCATCATCATTACATCATCAGCATCAACGTCGTCGTCGTCATCATCATCATCAGCAGCATCATCATCAGCAGCATCATCGGCACCTTCATCATAACATGATGTTTTCGAATACCCACCCGAATGCATTTCTTTGAGGATGCCTCGAGCGAAACGCAACCAGCAGCACCGGCAACAGCACCAGCAACAGAAGCACCAGCAGCAGCACCAACAGCAGCACCAGCACCAGCACCAGCGGCACCACCAGCAGCACCACCAGCAGAACCATCGAGAGGCAGCACCATCAGTAGCAGCAGCAGCAGCAGCAGCAGCAGCCCGACCACCACCATCACCACCAGCACCGGCAACATCAGCACCCGCAGCAGCAGCACCACCACCACCACGAGCACCAGCAGCATCAACAGCAGCAGCACCACCAGCAGCACCATTACCAACGGCAGTACCAACAGCACCAGCATCAGCAGCACCAGAAGCAGCAGCAGCACATGAACAAAAAAATCCACTCATCGAAACATGCGCAAGAGCGGCCAAAATTCGTGTCTACATGTACCCCCGCACCGTTTGACAACTAAAATCTCCTGATACTCACCAACGGGCCCCAAACCCTCAAAAACAAAAATGCGTTAGTGGCCACTTATTCAAGAGTCATAAAAGATATTTGAATGGTAGTAGCAATCGACTCAGTAGCACGAGCCCCTGAGGGTTCAGCGCTACTGGCACCTGGCACGAGCCCCGCAGGGTTCAGCGCCAGGTCATTGGGAGCACGAGCCCCGAAGGGTTCAGCGCTCCCAGTTTCAGTAGCACGAGCCCCGAAGGGTTCAGCGCTACTGGCACCTGGCACGAGCCCCGAAGGGTTCAGCGCCAGGTGATTGGGAGCACGAGCCCCGGAGGGTTCAGCGCTCCCAGTTTCAGTAGCACGAGCCCCGCAGGGTTCAGCGCTACTGGCACGTGGCACGAGCCCCGAAGGGTTCAGCGCCAGGTGATTGGGAGCACGAGCCCCGGAGGGTTCAGCGCTCCCAGTTTCAGTAGCACGAGCCCCGAAGGGTTCAGCGCTACTGGCACCTGGCACGAGCCCCGAAGGGTTCAGCGCCAGGTGAGTGAGAACACGAGCCCCGGAGGGTTCAGCGCTCCCAGTTTCAGTAGCACGAGCCCCGAAGGGTTCAGCGCTACTGGCACCTAGCACGAGCCCCGAAGGGTTCAGCGCTAGATGACGGGGAGCACGAGCCCCAGAGGGTTCAGCGCTCCCACTGGGGAAGTAGCACGAGCCCAGAAGAGCCAATGCTGTTCAGTCACAAGAAACATCCGAGCATCGCGTAGCAATTTTTCGCCGAGGGCGCACATGCCCGTCTTGTATTGGTATCTTCTCTGTCGTCGCGCAGCCACACGGGCACGCACAGTTGACGAGGGAGTTCCTGTGCAGAAGCCCTGGCGTGAGGCATGGCTGG